ATGCTCTAACTGTGTGTTTCATTGTTCTTCCAGGTTGGGATTTGGAATTGTATTGCCTCCGATGCTGCTTTAGTTTTGCACGAAAAATCCCACTTGTTTTGCCCTAGGTGGACTGCAAGGCCCTGAAGAAATGACCTAACTCGCCGCCGACTTAGGGCCGTTATCTCAAGCGTTGTGTTATGATGCCAATCACTTGTTCAATAGGTCTTGTCAACTTTCCCAGGGAGTCAATGAGAGAGCGTAATAGGTTGTTTAAAGAATTTGGATTTAACCAATGTGCTAACCAAGATACATTCAGTGAAGAAGTTCTGGATTGGTATATATAGACCTTCCATTGAACATAGTGAAGTGCTGTTCCCGTCATCGATCACCGTGCAGTTCCCGTGAATTCGTGCAGCAGCCCGTCATCCCAGGCTGCTGCAGTGCTGCAGCACCTTTGCGGGGCGATGGCAGATGCGACGGAATTTCCTGGAGTGGAGGGCGGCAGCGGCAGAGAGCCTCGACATGCAGCCTCGGGGCCTCGAGGTTGAAGAACCCACAGCCACACCGACAGAGGTTGAAGAACCCTATAGAGTAACCTAGAAGGGTCCTATTATAAGGTCACGTAACCTCTCTTGGCCAGATTGTGGAAAACCACCATGATTGTTGGACTATTGTTTTCCTTTCGGGGCCATGGTGTCCACTGCTATGTGTCTTCCAGGGCGACAGCCCAAGTTTCTTTTTGGCGTTGCAGCCCAGGAGGGCGCAACAGAAGTGCTTCATGGCCATCCAGTGTCCTGGCAGAGAAGAGCTCCTGATGAAACCTCGCTGAACCTGAAAGAAGATAAATTAACGGAATGCGGCACAGAGTGCCTAAATTCCTGACAATCGCTTGCTCTCGTATTTTGGGGTGACTGGGTGTTGTGTTTTGTTCATTTACCATCAATTAGGTCCGTTACTGTTTGTATTTGTTTTGGGATATCCGGAGATTGAGGATCTTGCCTTCAATTCGGGTCATTTTCCAGTTGGACACTGCGCTTGTGGCAGAGTCCAGCCCTGGGACCACACCACTGGGAGAAGAAGTGCCAAGCAACTCCATTAAAGAGACCAAGAAACATCAAGAAACCCAAAGGGATATGGCCATTGGCCAGGTCCTACCACTTATTTCCAAGCTTTTCTGGAGTAGTGTCCTACCAACATCTACCAACGAACAGGTGGACAATCCGGATTATATCGTTTAACCCGTTCGGGGACACTTGCAGGGTTACACAGGAACATCTACGGGCGAGTTTTATATAGCACGTTACAGCCTCAAGATGTATCAAGATATAGTATGAAATATGTCCAAGCTCTTTTGGGTTTGTGTTGTGCAGGGCTTATCCACTTGATGATGACGGTGTAAACTCTTACTTGACTTTCATCCCTGTATATCGCCAGGCACTTTGCCAATCGTTTGGTGTGGCAGAGCTTGCAGGATTGGCGTCAGGCGGGGCGGCTGGTGGGCAGCAGTGGTACACTGAAGAAGTATATAGTTTTGTTGTTTTGCGTTCTTTTGGTGAAGGGAGTGTTGCACTGAAGAAACTGTGTGCATGCCCATTCTTTACGCGCAAGGAGAGTGAACCACTTCCTTAAAAAACAAAAAAGCACTTTACATGGGTTTTGCTAGGTTTTGTGCTTGCTTTTTGCACAGCCGGACTGCCACTCTCTCGGGTTTTTGCCGAGGCTCTCAAGCACATGCACTTGGAAAATGCTATGGAGATCACCGGCGGCATGGGAGTGATCAGAGTTGCAGCTTCTCACGTCTCGTATTTAAATGGGTGTTAGAATGGGCTTTCAGACATATATAGTTTGCGTTCTTTTTGTGCAGGGTTTGCTCCAAGTTTTGTTTAAGCGTTCAATGCGATCTCTTTTTCTATTATCCCTAGAAATCCTAGAACAAAAGCAACACATAGAAAATAAGTTATTTGATGGAATGGGCATGGGTAGGCTATACCTGGGTGAGTACCTGGGTCCCTGGGTGGTGTGTTTTTGCTTTTCTTTCTTAGCGCCTAGAAATATCATGCACACACCGGAAGGCTCACTAAATCGCTGTTTGAAGAGGAGACTCAATCTTCATCAATCGTTCATGTACTGTAAGTCTTCTTCAGGGTGTACCCATGAACCACGTGGCCTTGGATAAACATGTTGCATGCAAAGGAGCAGGCTCCATCCGTTGGCACGTTCTCGAATTTGGTCATGTTCATCGACTTCCTCAGGATGCACAAGCGAGCCTTGAGAGAGAAAGTCTCCGGCTGGTTGCAGCTCGGCACATCAGACTGGTCAAACTCCAGCCTTCGACGTGCACCTGCAAAGACCGTCGACATGCTCCGTCGACGTGCTGGTTTTGAGTTCGATGCATAGGAAGGGCAGGTCACAAATGCACCATGGAAGAATAATGTTTCTCTGTGTGGCAACTCGCAGCCGCCAGCAGCCAAGGCAAGAAATGGAATTTGGTGAGAAGAAGGACCTTGCACGAGCATGTACAGCTACGAGCCTTCTGGACACAAGTTGCCTGCGGGAAGAGCAGGGAAAAGAAATAGCAGGGAGAATTGGAATTTTGCATGTTTCGGCTCACTTGATAGCTTTTTCACATGCTTCCTCAACTTTGTCCATATCTGACATTTCCAGCACTAACCCATTGGTGTATTTGAAAGAGGCCTGGAAACTCCAGTGACCCCTTTGAGATGAAGTTGTCCGCCGTTGCGCGGATCGAAATGTGGGTTTCACACTAAAGGATCGTTCATTTCAGACCGGGCCTCCCAGGGTGCGACCCGTTTGTTCTCCATTCTCACTGATGGCTCAGTCCATGGTGGTCTATGGTGGTCCATCCTCCCATGAGCACCAATGGAATGTGACTCACGAAACCGCCCCTAACTACTGTGTCCTTTTTGAGGGGGAGGACCACTGTAAACAAAGGCACTGCAGCATGCATTTTTCTTCCATACAGTACGTCACATTCCGCTTTGTCTTCAGCCAGCCTTTCTATCAATTCTTTCCTTCGACTCGGGAGGCAAACGCTTTTCCTACAATGGGATGGTGACCGGGATTTTCGCACCTCGGACGTTGCAAGGACGCGAAGGGCCAAGTTGGTCGTGGTGCATCCCTCAGCCCAACAGGTTTGCCTTTTAACGCTTTTTTGGCCAAGCTGCAATTGACATACACTGATTCAGTGTACGTGTCATATGCCGTTAATATACTCTTACCCTTAGGGATCCAAGTACCTTCTCAGAAGGTGATTATAAATATATATATATATATTATATTCCTCACGCCACCATGGAAGTGAAGCTGCTGGATCCCCTGTGGGATGTTTTGGTACTTCCCCAGTGGCCGACAGTGGAGGAGGTCGGAAATCAACAAGTACCGATCTTCTTTTGCGGTCAACAGCGGTAATGAGAACTAATATGGGAACTGGGGCAGTGTCAAAAGGTTCCTTTCGTGGGCTCATGATGGCTCATGCCATGCAACAACTTATGATGTTTGATGAGTCTCGGGAGCAAAGGTTATAATGGTATACGGTATACGGTATATACGTATTTCGGTGAGAAGGGATGAGAAGGGCTTGCAGCCGGCTTGCATCAGGAACAGAAATCGCATGTCTCCTCATTCCTGAGCTCTCACGCTTTCAGAGCTCTCGACGCCTGTAATGAGCTTGCGTGCAGTTTCACCCTTCACCACTCGCATCCAAGAACTGGGCACCGGCACCATCGGATGTTCCGACCGGACCACCTGACGCCAGAGCCGTCAGGTCGGCTTTGTCATTGGCATGTTCCTCGTGGCCATCATTTTCCATTGGGCCAGACGAACCTCGGGTGCAGCCCAGTCGGGTGCAGCCCTGTCGCGTGTTTTGCACCGGTCATTGGTGAAGCTCCCGTCATCTGGCCCTATTGGTTCCTGACATCAAGTGATGCACGTGAGCTGTTTTCACCGTGTTGTTGCCAGTTTTGACTCTCCTGAGTCTGAGTGGTGTGTGTTTTCTTCGCTCAGGAGGCTTGCAGAAGCTCAAGCGTCGCCCCTTGGCTGGTCACCTTTGATCGTTGCGTTGGGAGATCAATGTGAACGCAGCGCCGTGTGCCCGACTGGCTCTAATTGTTGGTCATGTTTGTTTTTAGAGAATTTCAATCGGACTGTTCTCAGATGTCCAGAATTTTTAACACAGTTTCTGATGTCTTGAAAAACACGTTAAATTTCCCTTTGCTTGCCATACTAAGTGCATCGAAGTGCACATGTCCAAGAGCGTGAAGCCATTTGCCATTTGGCGAGGTGACAGCTACCATATCCTGGACCGGATCATTCAAAGATCTGCCACGGGCGGCTATTCCAAGAGGCTCCCTTTCAGCCACGGACCGTTTGCGAGTCGAAAACCGGTGGTGGACCCCACTGTCGCGAAATAGCGTGAGTCTGGGGAAGCACTGGATGCTCCTTGCCAGGCTTTGAGCATCTTTAGCAAAAATCCAATGGCCTCGGGATATGTTGAAAAGAATCCTGTAGCGCATAAATAGAATCCTGGAAAAACAATGCTCTTCTTCTCTCGCTCTCAGACTGCGTTTTGAGTTGTTTTGACCAGATTTCTTTGGCCAATATGTTGTTCCCATGTGTTTTGTTCTTTTTTTTGTGACTCCTTGGCAGCGCACTCCTTGACCCGCAGTTCATACAGGGACGGGTGACACAAAAAGCTTCACGCTGCCCAGAGCAAGCTTTGCTTTATTGTTTTCTCATGTCGCGCTACGAAGTCCGGCTCCAAGGTGGTTCTTCATAGCCCTTCCAGCAGAACATGTCGACTGACGTGTTTCTTCGAACCTGTAACAGCCCCACCAGCGTTAGAAATAACGACATAACATGAAGCATAGATGGTCAGATGGTCATTCCATATGAGTACGTAAGTGCTCAGTGCTGGTTGATGGTTCTTATGCATTTTGTGGTTTTGGAGACAACGCCAGCACCCTCTCTCATACTGTGGCCAATGGATAGTCTCCGGGTGACGTGCGGCCAGAGATCATTCAAACACCACGTGAACGTCAGCGGGCCATGTTCTCCAATGTGTTGAACAACTTGGCGGATGGCTTCTGGTGCCAGAATCACTGGCTTTGCGAAAGAAACAAGCGAAACAGGGGTATGGGTTGGGTCGCAATCCTGTTGCCCTCATGTACAGTATGATTATAACTAGCAGGAGCAGCGCCCGACTTGTTAAGTGTTTGGAGATCCTTTTATCCAAACCCATCCAAGCTGGTGCATGTGCCATTTGTTTAAATCTATTTGGTCTATCTATCTATCTATGAATCTATTTGTTTGTCTATCTATCTATTTGTTTGGCAAGGTCAGCATTGATGCTTCCACCGATGTGCTTCCGCCAAGGAGCCCCAAGGCCACCGTGACGGATGAGGTACCGCTGACGACCGCGGAAGTGCTGGCGGACGAGCCGCTGGATGGCGAAGATCAATGGAGTGATGAGGAGCTTGGCCAAAGGGCTTGACAGCCAAAGGCCGTTTCATCAATTTTTGGATTTTGATAGATACCTCCGTACTACCCGCACCATTCATATGGACACAGTAAAATCTGAATGAAAAACATATGTATCAGAAACTGGGGCTTATAAAATGAAACAGTTTGATACTTGTTTGTGCTTGATTGACGGACAGTGCGTTATGTTGTATACCAGTGTTTTCTGTGCTTTTTGTACACTTGGTCGCATGTTTGATTTATTGTGTTTGCATTTCCTTTCACAATCGAAGTGCGGGAAACAACAAACTTCGACCTGAAATGCACTGCACCACCTTTAAAAAACAAGTATAAAAAAAAAAAACAATAACATTGGAAACATCGAGCCCACACAGATCTATACATGTTACATATTATGCCAGGACCCGATCCTTTTCCAGGATTGTACTTATATATATATATATACATGTTCTAATATGGTTTTCCTCATCTCCCAGGAGCTGGCGAAGTGTTTTGAACAGGAAGCCTGCCGAATCAAGAGGACCACTGGGTGAGAGATGTTTCTGGGAAACTAGTGAGTTGTGTTTGTCAATGTGTTTCCTGGGATAGGCATTAATTTATATATAATCATTGGTAAGCTGGTGGCTAATTTAGGGACCAAAGTTATAGGGATCAATTTTCCGTTAATATATGTTAAAATTATATTTCTATAGATGATAATGATCACCCCTGGAGCCTGGTGTTCAAATATGTGTGGAATTTTGGACTTCTGCCAGGCAATAATAGGACAGCCGGGATGATGGGGATGGAGGAAGCTGTGCCATTGGAAACCACCGACCGAGATGAGAGGATCATTTGGGCTCCATGGGCCTTTCAGCAGAGGTGAATCAGAGTTGGTGTCCCGAAGTCTCAGAAAGTGTCAAAGTGTCGACACATGGCGATCGGCTGGAACTGTTGATTGGTTCGACAATTGTTTCGCTCCGACCTGGCGTGCTTTTTGGGCTTGAGCTGCAGCACTTGGCTGGATCTTGGACCTGAAGCTGATGGTCCAAATTGGGGCCTTTTTTGGTTGTTATCTATATAGTACCGTACATGATTTGCCGCGCATGCTTGGTACAAAGTGGAGCTCCACCCGAAAATAGGGTTCCAGCCTCTCATGACTTCATCATACAGTTGAAATCTTACATTCATGGAGCCCATGGTTGTCTTCAACAGAACAATGTATATTGAGATGACTTGGGTCTGTCCCATTACATCTATTACCTGTAACAGTCGGTAAACAGTTGTCACTATTTTGGAACAAGGCCTTTACTAACCATCATCATGCACTCTTACTGGTAATAGGATAGACCCAAGAGATGATATCCATTCAAGAAGCACGCGGGTGTCAATGTGGTTTGCCCATTTTTCTTTCATGTGCAAACCCGACGGCTCGATGCAACACAACCATGCTCATCCAGGGATGAGTCACATAATTAATAGTTATATAAGTCAATGAAGCTTATCAATAATTTGTAATAAATGAGATTCACGCATGTTGTCAAAACCCTTTGAATGGCCCCCGTTGATGATTTAACTTTAATTGGCACAGGCACGTCTTATGTTTGGCGCATGTTCTTGACGACAGGACAGTGCAAAACGTCGACTTCGAAGAAGTTTGCACCATCCTTTGCACTCGCTGGCTGAAGCGCTTGTCGAAGGACACCGATGAGAAGCGAGAAGGCAAGAGTCTTCGGGCCCTGCTCCGACGCACAGAGAGAAACTGTTGGTTTGGGGCGGGGACATTCAGCAGGAGAAGGGATACAAATCCCGAAGTTTGAAGTAGGCCACATAGATACACCGCACCGCACCCGCTTTAGTGGTGGATGTGTTCATCTTGGGGTGCTAAATGATGGGTCACCGACGGCGATAGCTTCAGACATTTGCTGCATATATTGTGCAGGATGGGGAAGTATGCTGGACTTGGGTGATATTGGCTTGTGATTCCAATGGTTCCTATCATGTAGATCAGTGATTCATGGGGTATTCTTTGAATAGTCCTGGACTGCTCACTGTGTCCCGGGGTCCCTCACCCGTGTGACCGCGTAACAGTGACCATGAGCAAGAACAGGACCGAGGGATAGAGCGCCCCACGGCCCCTTAAGGGGAAAAACTCATGCAACACGGCAAACCACACAGGCTCGGTTTTGCGTTTTGTGCTTTTTCTCATGGACAGTGCGGCAGGGACCAACAATGACCAACATATATAATCAGCAGTTGTTTTACCCATAGAGTTGCGGAACGAAGACCAGCGTAAGCATAAGTGCAGAAGGTTGAATACATGATAACGAATGTGATGACTCCTGTGTTTCCATGTTGCTTGTGCAAATGCTACCTTTTTGAAGATGCCGTGAAGTGGCCCAAAACCTGGCTGGTCGAGAAACATGCCCAGAAGGCGCCGCCAAACATAGAGTGGACTCTCTTGACCTACAGGCCTCCATGTACTCCTCCAGCATTCGACATCAAAACGCCCACGTCACTCATCCTCGTTCCAAGGAAGCCGTGCCTTAGACATCCTCCTCTCCACCTTGATAGAGACAGAGGTCGGACGACAAGCCATTTATGTTGCGGCCAGCACGGATCCGGAGAGGGAGAGCGGCATGACCGCAGGCCAAACGGAAGGCCAAACGGAAGGCCAAACGGAGGCGACCGCGGTGGAGCAAAATTGGCAAAACCCTGAATGGATGGGTCAGTTTTGTATCTAGGCAGTGGCCAAGCTCCAAGCTTTTTTGCTGGGATTGCTTTCCCTAGGAGAAACTTGCGGACAAGGGGGTTCATCTATTAAATCCCCAGCTAGGAGACAAACAGAGGGTCCAAGTTGATCCAAACATTGGGTTGACCTAACAAGATCCAAACATGACACCGGGAAGGTTTATGCAGAAGGCGGAAGCAACAGGTAAGTTCATGAGGAAGTTATGGTTTGAAGGACCCCAGGCCCATCCGAACTTGTTGTTTGGCTAGGTCAAACGGGGAGGTGTTTAATCTCTATATAGGTGACTTTGCGCGCGCTCGATGTGTTTCTATGTTCAAGTTGCTTAAATGATGTTGTGAGTTGTAAGCTATGAAGCTTCCTCCTGCTGAAGTAAGATTCCCACATGTTGATTTGCCCTCGCGAGCCTGAGACAAACCTGGAAGCTGCTGTCAAGACACGGACTCATAGCGGAAGTGGCTTTCTTCATATACCTATGGCAACGTGTGCTAAAACAGCTAAAACATGCAAACACATCCCGCGTGCTTGAGGGGTGCACCCTCCATCCAACAAACATCGGTTCCACGGTCAGACTTGGAAGAAAGCGGGGTTGTTTACTGCCATATGTTGGATGGAGGGCAGCTCTCATGTCCACAGTATGGAAGCTTTCGGAGGGTTATGAGTTTTGGTTGACCTTCAGCTGAGGCATGGACTGCAGTCACATCTCTCCAGCCGTCCCGTTGCGGCTGCTTCTGTACAAAGGATCAGACGTGCCCTCCGTGCTTTGGGATTTGCTCATGGCAATCGTTTTGATTATTGAATGGATATCATGTTCGGTTCCACCAACCATCACCCCATCATTCCATCATTGATACCCGGACCCAATCCATGAAAAGAGTCTTTGAACAGCTTTGTAGAATATGCAGGTTCCTATTTCTTCCTGGGATGGTCACCAAATTGAACATACATATACCCTTTAGTGATTAATATATATAGCTATGTTCTATTTTTCTTGAGTGTTTGGTTTCTGAGGTGGGTCGCTGAAATAGCTGCTATCGCTCCCGCGGTCGGTTTGCGCCGGTTGCGCCGTCACCCAGGTTCTGATGGATTCCCTGCTGAAGTTGCTCTCCACCGTGGGTCGTGCTAGCACCGGCTTGGAAGACCTCCATTGGGTCACATAGAGAGAAAGACAAGAGAGTGTGGAACTTGCTTTAGATTCTTCTTTTTTGACACGCGCAGGCACTTCTTTTTTTTGTGTTCGGGGGGCATGGTGTTCTTTTTCATGTTTTCTTTTGGAGGTCTCAGCCCCACGCCGCGCGCCCGAAGAAAACCGCAAACCGCGCGTCTTTCAAGTTTGGAGAGGTGCTTTTTTACGCAGCCGCACGGGAACATCTTGGGCCAAACTCGAGCACACAGTAGACATATCCACTCTCTTGTTATTTTTGGGGTAGATTCCAGGTACACTGTTGTTGTTTCCACTGGGAAATCTGGTTTTGCTTCAGGTGATTTATTTTCCCTTTAGATAAAACCCCTGCAGGGCAAATTTTTCTATTTATGGCCTTGTGGAATCAGCCCAGCTATTCCAATTCATCCCGCCTTCGCCAAGGTCCTGCTGCTCCTCAGCGCAGCCACGCTGGACGCCAGCGAGGTCTATGTGCGCCGGAGCCGACGGGGCATCGATGCGATTGAGAAGAGCGCAGCAGAGATCAGGGACATGTGGAAGGAGATGTCCCAAGGTATTGGTGACCCGAAAAGTGATCAGTCGACCCATGTCGACCCATTTGGAAAAGTGATCAGTTCCAAGGTAATTGTATGCTTTCCTTTTGATTGTGTGTGTTTGCAACTTGCATAAATAGTTTCTTAGCTTCATCCCTCCATTGGTAGGCATTTCGACCCAATTTTGTGCGTTCCAAATTGAGATACTTAAAACCTGGATTGGTGGAATTCTGAGAGCCAACATGGATGACCTGGCAACCGTGTTGAGAAGATCAGTGCTGGGCACTACAGTCAGTTTTCTCAGAAATGAAGGTATTTATGGGAGAACATGAAAGAGTTGCACACGTAAGAAGAACACTACCAACTACGTACTTGTTCAGGTTGTTGTGAGATCCCGGGGGGTGTGCCGATGATGATGATGATGATGATGATGCTGGTGGTGGTGGTGATGATGCTGAAGGTGTTCCATTTGCAAGAAAGCATTCTCGCAGTTCAACAGCACAGAATCACTCAAGAAAGATTTACGCGCGGACTTGTGTGTCCGGCCCCTATGCCTTTGTCTTCTGGTAGTAGGAAGCAAAGTTGGTTGGCCCCTTTTCGATGTAACAAACCCCGGTTGACGATCCTGAAATGTCATGATCAGCCGTGGGAACAGCTAGTCACAGACCCCTTAGACGTACGTACCCCTGGTTGCAAGACGAGCCGGGGCGCATGGCACTCAACAAATGTGCTACACGACTTTTTGATATGTGAATGTACGTCCAGTCGGGTAAACAGACGTATGGACATACAAACATGACAACTCAGGTGGAAACAAATAAACACGCGTGTTGTAAAGCCCGCTGCTGACCAAAGTAATCCCAACTAACACCATGGTGGGTGACACACTTGAAACTCTTTCCTTCAATAACCTTTCTTTGCTTGGTTGGACGACATTGTCTTACCTTCTGAGGTGAGGCTGCCACAAGTGCCGTGAAGCTGGGGGACGCTGTTTGGGCCGAGTGGCCACGCAACGGGCGATGGTTTCGGGGCGAGGTCACCGAACTGCAGCAGGAGCGAATTTGTCTTCGGCGTTTTTGTCTCCTTCGGGTTGAGAGGATGATTCAGCGAAGAGTGGGGAGTGTTGAAAAGAGTTCCTATGGTACCGGTGTTTGAGGTACTGTATGTATGTGAATTTACAACCTTTGGGATGACTAAGAGTTGTCAATTGAGTTGAAACCACCAACCAGCAATTAAAAGACATGCCTCCCGGGTGGACTGTTCCGCCGATTGAAAGAGTCCGCTTGGATCCGGCCGAGGTGTGGCGTGTTTGGACTGAAAGCACAACGATGTTCTCTCCAACAACTGCACACCCTGACAAGCAGACATGCGCGTTCCGAACACAAAAGGGTCCACATGCGGACTTGGACCCTGGTTTTGATGTCCAACAACAGAAACCTCAAAAATTGAATTGCAATGCACGCCAGGTTAACAATCTAGCAAGATGACTCAATATCAATGATATGTATATGATTGTATATGTATGTGGAGTACATTCTAGTATATACATTTGTCCCGTTCAAAGGGTTAGTTCAGGGACTTATCATCGAGCTATAAGCCTTAGTCCTTCTTGTCGGTCGAACCTTTCTCATCGGCGCAGTTCTCACAGGAGCAGGCAATGATCAAATGGCTCCAGCGGCCCAGCGACTCGGTTTAGCGTGGTTGAAGTGTTTCCATGAGGTTGTGCAGAGAGGTGGAGCAAACAAGTTGCCGGCGCGGTGAGTGTTGAAAAGCGTGCCGTTGAGAGCGCTGTTTTGATTGTTCATACAGGCACAATGTAATCACATTGTGATCAATTCAATGGTTTAGTAGTTGTCAGGCATGTTCTGCAAGCTACGTAAATGTAAATGTATCTCAAAGACTCAAAGATGTGATTTCTCTGGACTTTCTTGGAAGTCAAGGGAGTGTTCTGACTCCCTACTGAACGTGTGTGACGCAACCCGGCGTGGGGTACCCTGAGCTCTTCAGTTGCTGAGTGCAGCCAGCAGGAAAGCTCATGAAAGTTTAAAGTAGATGTGATCTTCTATGCTTTCCCGGCATTTTCCTCTTCCGTTGGACCTTTGTCACAAATTCTTCTTGCGCCTGATCAACGATTGTTCAGAGAGAGATGGTTTGCACTTTGTGCCTTTGTTTATTGATTGATTTGGCTACACCCCTGCCTTGCGAGTTACAATAGAGACTGTGCAGGTTTGGTGGACACATCTTGACACCAGACACCAAGGTGTTTGTTTGCATTCGGCCCCACCGGGTGAGGGGCTTCCGAAGTTAGAGACATTCATGAACCTATGTCCACAGTCCATCCGTTTCCAAGTCTCACGGAAAGTGTTCCCCGGTGTCCGGTGTCCTCAATTCGAACATCAGAAATGTTTCTGCAATTTTATGCATTTCAACTAGTTCAAGACTTGAACACCTCCTTGATAAACTTTGTCTCCATTGGCCCTTCTTTCAGCACCACGGAATGGGAAACCAGAGTGAATTTGAGATGTAGCAAGAACAACTTTCCAGCCCAGCACCTTAACACTGTTTCTATGCGCTACCCATTAGTAGCTATCCCAGCCAAAGACAGGTGTGATGTGCACTGGAGAACGGGTTGCATAGTATCAACATGTATCAGCTTAGTGCTGTGTTTGTTATTTATTGTGCCCTTTGTTTTTTTGCCTTTCTGGTGGTCTGTAGTATGTCGGATAATGGATTTAGAAAGCAACGGGGCGGCCTCCGAATGTTTTGTGTTTCGCTTCGAAGCCTTTGAGAGACCAAACAGCTCACTCACACTGAGGCAATGTCAAGGGTGGCCAAGAAGACACTAAGCTTTTGAGAAGGGCATTGAGTAACTTGAACCACCAGAGGCTGGTCATTTTCGCACATGTGGCCACATGCACATCCTATGAAAGGCCGAACGGGTTGAGCCATTCATTCAAGATGTCGGATGGTTGCTAGGTTCAACACCATAGCCATATTGTAGTAGCATCCACAGCCAAGGTCCAGGGATTTTCTCAGGGTTGGTTTTAGATATGAAAAAACATATTCTTCTTGTGAGTGGTGTTGCGGCTGTTTTTGCCATAGGTTGGTAGGTCACCTTAGGGCCCAAGTTAAAGTCACCGGAGCCCAAGTTCATGAGTTCTGGGGGAGATAGATGGTTTCAGATATTTTCAGATGAACGACTCAGAGCTCAAGCTCTTCAAGGGCTTGGGAGAAGACCAGCTCGCGAAGGGAAGGCCAGATGCTGTTTTGTTTGGACAAAGTACTGTGTGTAGAAGCCGCCGCCCAAGGGCTTTGTACTGAAGGGTTCAACAGGTGAATACTTGTCTAACTTGCCAATGAGGTATTTTTGTTCCGTCAAATCTGAGGATGATATCTCTGTTCCGCTCCAACTATTTCGACTTTGAACTGATTCACACAGGGTTGGTGGACGGTGAAGTTTTTTCGCAAGCCTTCAGCTGTTCTGAGGATGATTATTTGGTGTCTGTGGTTGGTGAGGACTTCGACTTTGAACAATCGACAGCTGTGATCAATGTCGCTGTGCTTCCTGCGATGTTCATGCGCCCACAGCCTATCCCAGAACAAGAGGAGGATGGCTGGTCACAGCTCATGGAAACAGCAGAGAGCCTGACGAACAAGTACCACCAGCTGCGGGCCTTGTTCGAAAACCTCGGACGCCTGGAGTTGCTGAATTGATCATACTGTGGTGGATGAACCCACAGGAAAGTGCGCACCCGGAAGCGCCTTAGGTTCTAGAAAGGTTCAGAGATATGATTGTATACCCCAACTACTTGCACCAAATTGCGCGTGCTGGATATATATATAGGGTTGTCGATCTAAAGGTCCTAGTCAGCAGTGTGTATGACGATGACCCGGAACATATCAAAATCTCATCTCATTTGGCGAAAGTTTTTTCTCGAGTTGGCGAAAGTATTTTTTTTTGCGAAAGATCTGGCGAAATATTAAATATGTACTTTTGTGTGAATGTTCATTTGCTTCCTGAACAGCTGGTGGCAGTGACTCAGAAGCTAGATGAGCTGTGGAAGTTAGATAACCTGCTGCTGCTGCGGCTGCTACTACTACGACTACCACTACCACTACCACTACCACTACCACTACTACTACTACTACTACTGCTATTCCTGCTCCTGCTTTGGGGGGTGGCTTTGCCACAAAACTCTACCCCGCAAAAGGCGAAAGTTTGGCGAAAGTTCAGCTCAAGATTGGCGAAAGTTCACCCTGCCACATCTGACCCCCAGCCCATTATGAGTAAGTTTGAGTGACCGGCTACTACAGTGATTCTTGCAATTTTGATTCTTGCTGACACCCAGGAGAAACAAAAGAGACGTACAGGGTGTCAACAGTTAAGTAGAAGACACATGCTGACAAACAGTGAAGTTTCTATTTTGTGTTTGCCAGCAAAGAAGAAGCCATTGACGTGAACAAAACACAACATACATGGCACACATAAATACAACGTACTTCGGTGAAAGATAAAACGCAGGAAGGCGAAAGTTTGGCGAAAGTAATTTTTTTGCGAAAGTGACGGATCCCGGATAAAGGAATTTTAGATCAACTCCCATATATATAGTTATATATATATATATGTCTATATGTAGTGCATGGTGTCGTGTTTCAACACATGCACAGCTGAAGTATACAACCGTGTATTCAATGCTCCTGAGACTCCGAGCCGTCATCATCCGCTCGTTTGTTCCAAATCTCCTGGCGCCGGGCGTCCGGAGGAAAGGACGAGAAGCCCTCGGAGCGGAAGAAGGTGGCCGACTTCGAGAGGAAGAAGTTGGCTGAGGCCACCAAGGCAGACGGAGCGAAGACAGTGGACGAGTGGAAGCATGGGACGAGTGAAAGTATAGGTGGCACGTACAGGTCAATGTGAACAACAAAACACCACTTTGAAGCTGCTGGTTTTACTACTGAGTTATGGCTGTTAAGGACATTAGCTAAGTAGTTAGTAACTAGTTATAACTATTTATAAACTAGTTAGCAAAAGGCTGGATTTTTACAATCCTAAGGACATTTTTCAAAAGTGTCAAAGACATTTTTAAGTTTTTTTGTTTTGCAAAAGAGAAAAATACTTTCAAACGAACAATTTGGCAACAAAGAGACACATGCACAAGCACATGCCATGAATGTTTCAACCAAACATGTTGGTATTTAAAATTGCAAATCATACACCATGATGTGTTTTTTTTCCAACCTGGGAGGCTTCCAGTGATTTTGCAATGACAACAAAATGTGCTGCATTGCCCACTGTGTTTGGTTTTCCAAAATGCTATTTTAAAAAAACAAATCCAATTGCAGCATAAAATCTTTTTACAAAAATTAAAGAAAAATGCAGCTACAAGCAGCTGAATTTGCAGGTAGTGCTGCAACATAGGCATATCCTTCAAGAGCCTATACAGGCTGTAGCCTTCAGTGGGGGAAAGAACATAAGCTTGCATAAGCTATGTGCAAATGTGGAGTTTCATTTTTTTCACACTGCAAGACAAAAGTGCAGGGGTCAAACAGGTGAGGCTGCCATCCTTTCCATGTGAGTAGATGACTGCCTGCAGCACTTGCCTCACATCCACCAACTTCAAGCCACCACCTGCTTGCCACTTGCTAGATTCTGTGCCAGCCCTGACACCAAGACATTTGAACATATCCACCAAGCACAGCAAACAGCCTGCTGCATCAAAGAAATGCTTGATTTGGCCACACTGCCAGAACTCATTGTCTCCAGGAAGCTTTTCCATGAAAACAATATCATCTCTGTGGCAAGTTGCACCATTCTGCAAGATGCAGCACTTTGAATACATCATGCCAGGAGCAAAACATCGAAGCTCTTGGAACATCTTTTCCAGCTTCTTGGTCAAGCCAGAAGGGTTGATCAAATGGCAACTGGTCTTGAACAAATAATGTTGGCTCACCAAGGTGTTGATGTGCTCCATAGAAACAGCACTCAGCAAGCCCTTCTCATAAGTTACCAGCTTACAGTGTACACTTCCAAACTTCCTGGGTTGCTTGTGTTTTCTTTCAAGCGCCCAACAGCTTGGTAATTGTGACCATCTCTTCAGGCCATCAGCAAGATGTAAGCACCAGTGGAATTTTGGTTTCATGGAATCAGCAAATCCTCCACTAACTGTTGCTGCCATCGCCACTTCAATCAAGCTCAGAAGTTTGCTAGGTGAAGGGTTTGGCAAAAAGGGTAAAGAGACCAAATAATCAAGGACTCTTGCCCAAGACACATAGGCCTGGCATTCCAACACCATCACATTGCATGCTAAATACATCACTCTCAAAAAATGTTCCACAGGCTTGTACACCAGCAACACTTGAGAGGCATCACATTTAAACGTCCCAGCTTTTCTGTTGCTTGTGACGGCTTTGGCCTCAAACAACTTCCCGATGTCTGAAATGCTGTAAGCTCTGGGGAATGACCACAACTCCATCCAACTCTGGAGGCTGTCCCAAGCCTTGAGCCCAGATTGGTGGATGCTTTCAAGCACCAAGAAGAGCATGTCATTCAGCACTCCATGGCTGCAAAGGCCATGCATGTAGTCATAACAATATAATGAGACTGGCCTCAACAAATGATTTTTCAAGAGCCTCTCACTTGACAACAATGCATGTGCACAATAAGACAGCCCTGCTGCTTGCTGCCTTAGCTCAATTTCCTTTTTGGTTGCTGTGTGGGACAAACTTCCCAATCTCTGCCAGCTGCTGACCACCTCTGCATCTGTAGCAATCTGCAGCTGATCATACTTCAAGAATTTGGAGAAAATATTGCCACCACCTGCTGCAAGAGTGCTTTCATCTCTGAGTTGAAACAAGTTCTTGCATAGGAAGCATGGTTTGCTTCCTGTGTCTTGCCGACTTGCCCACACAGATTTGTGGGCAGCACCATCTTGTAGAATCATACTGAGGGTGAAGTGAAGCCTCAAAGAGCCCTTAGGTGATGTCAAGAGCACACCTGTCTCAGGCACCCCATCTGCAAAAATGTCTTCCAAGACAATGCGAAAGAGTTGTGAGATGCCTGCTGCAAAGGTGCCAACTTCTTGGCTTCTGCAGATTGCTATGCAGAACCAACAGTCAGATTTGCTCAAGAACCTTTCAAATTCTAAAAAAGATATGTAGATGCACCAAGCCTTTCTGGAAGTTGAATGTAATATATTCCCTGGGTGAACTTCGTCTGAATAAATTACACATTTCCAAGGCCTATCTAAACTTGATGGTGTCATTGAATGCAACTGAAGCAAGAAGTCAGTGAAAGCTCCACCTTTGTGGAAAGTTCCAGACAATAGCGACAAAAAATTGATGTAGATGATTTGCTTCTTTGTGTTGTCCACTGTTGTGACCTCTGCATTTTTGAAAAAATTGCCATACATGGTCATGCTTGGGTCCTCCAAGAAATCCTTTGTCTCTTTCCAGATGGCAAACCTGGATACATTCTCAGGCAGCCCTCCACGCTCAATCTCTTTGCAAATGGCAGCCAATGCAGTTTGAGAACAGAAAGGAAGAACTGCCCTTAAGTCACTGATCTTCCTTCTTTTGGCATCACTCTGGTCATCTCCCATGGCTCTCCATGGGTGCAAGTACCAAATAAGTGAAAGTAAATGACATGTCAATGCTCAATTAGTGAAACTAAATGAACCTTAATGCGCAACAAGTCAAACTAAATGAAGCTGCAATGCTTGCATGATCATACATGTATGGGTATGTATGGGTGCTAACTTGCAATGCCTGGTTTGTGTTTGCAGTGGCAACTGAAAGATGTGAAGCTTGCAACAGGTTGCCATGGTAATAATTGAACAGTATGAGTCCTGTGAAGGCTGCTAGACTAGATGTTACCTTCTGCCTGCAATGGCAATTGAATGATGGGAAGCCTGTAAAGGCTGTTTGGCCTGTAAAGGCTTGTGCCTGTAGTGGCAATGGAAAACCACATACTATTTTCTCATCCTGTAGCAGCTAGTTCTTGGGCCATTGCCCTGCGCTCACCTTCTTCTCGATCTTCTCCTTGACTTCATTCACCCTTTGCTCTGGCACAATGAAGGTTGTGGTAAGCTGCTGCAAGAACTCCTCCACAGTCTTCCATTCTTCCCATCCTGTTTTGGCAGGGCTAACATAAACAAACAAAAGCACACCCTCTAACATTGCCAACATACTTACACCCATGCCTCCAGGACCAACATTCACAAACCAGTAGGTTTTCTGGCCAGAGGCATCTGTCCAAGACCTGAAGTCAGCACTGTTGGAGGCCATGGCCTGCATTGAGCACTGTAGTGGCTGCTAATGGCTAATGCCTTTTGTTTGAACAGGCTCTTTTGGTTGTGCATGTGTAGGATCAGCCTGCAAAGGCTTCAAACATTAGGCACCAACAAACAACATACAGCACATAAGCTTGCACAAGCTGATTGAGTGGCATCCACTTGCACTGCCCTAGATCTTTTCACAGGCACCTGGTAGCAGGTGTTCACAGCATTGCTTGCTGTTCAAGCCCACAGCAGCATATGTCTTTCAGACACATGATGCACCCCATGGATTGAAGGTCACTTCAAATTGTTAAGCCTGGCATGCTGGACCCATTCTTGCCTGGACATCCGCATTCCTGAGAAGGAATCCTTGAGGCAAGCTGAGCATCCATTTGGATTTCCTCTGCATCTCAAACACCCCCTTTGCACTGAAGAAGCCTGTGCCACTGCCTTTGCCTTGCCAGAAGCTTTGGCCTTTGCCTTGGGCTTCTTCTTGGCAGACATCTCAGAACAGGCTGCAGGTCGTTTCATGCTCTTAGCCTTCACATTCCTTTCCTGCAGTTGTGCATAGTTGGCCTCTTCAATGCTTTCTAAGGTGGGGGAAGCTTTGTCATTTTCATTTCCATTCCCAACCACTAAACTCAATTCCTCAGGAATAGTCTTCTGCTCAGCCACAAAATTATTCTCCTCAGCAGGGGTCTTTTGCCCAGTGCTCAAGGACTCTGAGCTGGTTCCATTTGCAAGCGCTTGCCTCTTGCTTGGTGATCTCAAGATCTCAATCTCTGAGCCTTTCTGTGTAGAGCCAGAAAGGATAGTGGCACTTGCTTTGTGAAAGCTAGCCAGCAAATGCATCATGAATTGGTCACCAAGGAAACCAGCAGCTGGGTGAAATGAAGTAGCTGCAGCTGGCTGAGCTGAGGAAGCAGCACTGCTTTGCTGTGGCTGTGTGTGCTCTTTGGTGATGGCAAGAGCTGAGCTCCTCACCTTGATATGCTTTTGGATGATGATTGCCAATTGGGGGAACTCCCTCAGAGCAGGCCTCTCCACTGGGTATGCTGCCAGAAAGTGTGAGTCTGACAAGGCCATGGGATCCTCTGGGTAAGCCTTCAAAGCCAAAGAAGCTGGAGACACTTCCACTATCACTCCTTGTAGGGTGTGGACCAGGTGGTGTCCAAGCTTGTAGATTGCATCTGCACATGGGATCTTGTGGCTCCTCTCTTGTTCTAGAGACACTAGGAGTCCCAAAATTGTTTTCTTCAGGCTTTCCTTCATACCTGAGATTCCCAACAACTTCATGCGCTTTGCAATAATTTCACATCCTGCCCACATGGAGCACCCTTCCAAATCAGTAATCTCAGTGGCTGTCAGGTATTTGGAGAAAGCTTTGCACTCCTGCCCAGAAGAAGCCAGCCTCCCCACACTCTGGCCAGCAACACCTTCCATGGCACACCCATCCAGGAGTGCAAAGACATTTGTCCTCATCTGGTCTGGCATGTCTATGTTTGCTATGTGTTCATAGCAACATGCCAAGTCACTATTGCTCATTGCAGGCATGTTCTGCAACTTG